AACGACATGGCGCCTCGCCCGTGCCCGCCGGCCGGGCTGGCTGCGGGGCTGCCTTGGCGCTGTGTCACGCCGGGCTGGCGAGGCCGCGAGGCCTGCAGGCCCGCCGGCCACGTCTTCCAGTCTGCCCTAGCGATTAGTGAGTCCGTTGGCCAAACCAAACAAAAACCCGGTGGTTAAAAGTGCTGACGGAAACAGGCCTGCGAGTGTCCTGGCTCTGGGACGTGGAGAGGACTCGCAGGGGAAAGAGGCCTCACAAATGTCCCTGCTAGGTGAAAAGCCTGGAAGGGCTCCTGCAGCCACCAGTGAGATGCAAATCCACGGGAGACCGGGCTTTCTCCCTGCTGGTGCTTGCGGAAGGACTTCCGAGTTTAATTTCCTCGCCTTTTCCGCCTGTGCCAGGAACTGGAAGGCACTGCCAGAGTACCAGAACCTTCTGCGAGGTTCAGGAAGTTACCCACCTCTGGTTACGTGAGGTGGTTCAGGATGGTTTCGCCGATCCTTCATACCCCGCTGCTTTTCCCAGCCGCCTGCGTGCTTGTTTGGGGCTTGTGTTTCCGCATCTCCTGTGGTTTGGGACCTTCATGTATGTGTTGTCTTAGTGTTTCAGCATCTGTACTGCTGTGCTTCAACTTCAGATTTTCAAAGTTTCGTTTTTCTCACAAGTTTTGAGTGTCAATACGTCTAAATTTTTGCCTGCCTGCTTCACCAGGCCTCCCACAGGAAGCAAGCCATGCAGTAGCTTCCAGCTATGTTCAAGTAGAAAAAAAAGACACCACCCTGTAATTGATAAGCATCATTTGCTGCAGCCTCTTGACTACAAGTTGGGCGCGCTGCCAGGGTGTAAGACCTGCTTGCAGATGTCAGCGCAGGCACTGCAAGTGCCTCCTCACCCTTCTAGACACAGGGCTTGAAGACTCCAGTACATTTGCCCCATAGATAGCAGAAAGGCCTTTTTTAAAAGGTTAGGAAAAAGAACTGAAGGTTTTGTATATCTTTTTGCCTGAACTTAAATGTACCAGCCACGTTAATGCATTTATTCTTAGAACAATCTGAGGCATAATTACTCCCCTGTGGTACAGGAAGAAAAAAAAAGTAAGCAGAGAGATTAAATCTCTTGCGCAAAGCTAAAGAGATAGCAAAGCCAGGAAATGAACACAGATTTCCTGAGTCAGGCGTCATTGCTTTAACCACACAATCATTCTTTCTTTCAGTCATTCTCAGCTTCTGAGCATTAATGTAAACATCAACTGCATTAGCATAGATTCGATTTTTCCCTGCTTTGTTCATCAAAACGACTTCACTGTTCCCACTGCCACCTCCTCCAACTAACTTCCATTTCCTTCCCAAAAGTAAAAGAAATTATATTACAGACTCTCTGGGAGGGTGGAATGATACTGCAGACTCGCTAGGAGAGTCTTAAATTTCCCGCTGCCTTTCTGCAGGCACTGACAGGTATTTCTTCAACCCCAATACTTTAAGCATCAGCTCACAAACCAATTGTGGTGCTTCCATGGTGCATCTCTTAGGCAGGTACCCAAATGCACACTGAACGAGATCAAGGAACAAAATCGTTCCCTGTCATACTTTTCAGCCAGATCAGAGGACTAGGAATGCTTGTAACCAACACAAAGGAGGCACGTAAGCTATGTGTACTGACCCGGAAGTGGTGGTATAACCACCTTTTTTAACTCCAGCTCATACTTCTAATATCTGAAAATGATACATTATGAAACACAACTCTAAAAGAAAGCTACATATTTAAAAGAAGAAAACAACTTAGAGATATTTTAGGACAGATTTGAGAGCCTTCACTATCTATTTAGGCATTTAACTGACTTCCACAATGCTTACATAGCCCCAAGATTAAGATCCAGTCTTTAAGCAGAATCCATAGTTTTGGAAAAATAACTTCAAAAAAGGGAAGCATTACATACACAACTCCAGCTTCTGACAACTTAACTCAAAAGATAGTGCTAACAGTTCTACTGACAGACTACAGGCTAAGATCTAGCCACAATCAACTGCAGTATCTTTTCTTACCAGTTTAATATTTGATATGTCTTCCACTTGAGGACTTCACATTCTATTGATTTTATACTAAATTGATTTAAATGGACTTTCTATTACACTGGGAGATGGACTAGAAGCTTTGTTTTATCCACCTCACTCACTGACCTGGCATTGTGCTGCCTCCAAAAACCAGAGACACAGCAATGGATAACACCAACCACCCAGAGAAGAGTTTAGCAGCTGGATGAGTGGACAGTGATATTCACACACAAAAAAAAAAAAAAAAGAAAAGAAAAAGGAGGGTAATTGTCGTAGGCGACTCCCTTCTGACAGGGAAAGAGGACCCAATATGCAGACCTGACTCATCCCACAGGGAAGTCTGCTGCCTCCCTGGGGCCCGGGTAAAAGACATTACCAGGGAACGCCCTGGTCTGGTTCGGACCTCTGATTATTACCCATTGCTGTTGTGCAGGTTGGCAGTGATGTGATTAAAGAGAGAAATCCAAAGGCAATCAAAAGGGACTTCAGGGCGCTGGGGCGATTAGTGGAAGGATCGGGAGCACAGGTAGTGTTTTCCTCAGTCCCTTCAGTGGCAGGGAAATATACTGAAAGGAACAGGAAAACACACCTGGTTAATACGGGGCTCAGAGGCTGGTGCCATCGGTGGAATTTGGGGTTTTTTTGATCATGGGGAGGTTTACGCGGCACCGGGCTTGCTGGCGACAGATGGTGTCCGGCTATCTCAAAGACGTAAAAGAATCCTCACTGGTGAGATGGCAGGGCTCATAGAAAGGGCTTTAAACTAGGTTTGAAGGGGGTAAAGGATAAAACTAGGCGCACCAGAGATGAGCCTGGGAGCAGCGTGCCAACGTTAGGGGTGGATTCGATAGGGCAGCTCAAATGCATCTATGCCAATGCACACAGCATGGGCAATAAACAGGAGGAGCTGGAAGCCATCGTGCAGCAGGATAGATATGACTTAGTCACCATCACAGAAACATGGTGGGATGACTCCTGTGACTGCAGTGCTGCAATGGATGGCTATAAGCTCTTCAGAAGGGATAGGCAAGGCAGAAGAGGTGGTGGGTGGCTCTCTATGTTAGGGAGTGTTTTGACTGTACAGAGCTACACGATTGTGATGACAAGGTGGAGTGCTTATGGGTAAGGATGAGAGGGAAGGCCAACAAGGCAGATGTTTTGCTGGGAGTCTGTTATAGACC